GCCACAACGCCCGGCTGTTTTTGGGTGCAGCCGTCATTGTTTGGCGGGCCCAGGCTGGATTCAAACCCGCCACCTTAGGTGTATGTGGCTGACGCCTTAGCCACTTGAGCCACAGGCGCCGAGCCAGCTTTTCACTATTGATGGAATTTCTGAGCCCTAACAAGTACTGGAAATCATCTCATTAATCCCCTCATCCTAGAGATGATAAAAGAGAAAAAAGTAACCTGATCCCCTCCTGGATCAGGACGTACCTCAGATTCTGTTCAGAAGCCTGCTTAGCTTAGTTCCTTCTCGGTACTGGTGAAAACTGTTTTAAATCCCTGTATCCTGACATAGCAGGCACTCAAATACCTAAATGAATGGACTGTACTATCTATACATGCTTACTACATGGCGAGCAAAGCATTGCAAGGACTAAAAAACTTTCCCTTTTCCTACTGCATCACAGTGTGGAGCAAATTCCAGGGAAGTAAGTGAAAATTTCTGCATCAGTTCGAACTTGGTAAAAAGCCAGAAGTGCTCAATAAATGTAACCTTGATGTTAGGTTAAAAAAAAAAGCACCTCTGCTCTATTTTCCTGCACACCCAATTTTCATACGCATCAGATCATGGGTAAATGGCTGCAGCTATAGTTGGGGGGGGCGAGGAGGGAATGGGGCTTGGTGGTTACTAGAGACAAGGCATGAGCTATAACCATTAAAAAATGACTAGCTCTAAAACTAACTTTAAATGTCCAAGACCACTGGGCCAGGGTGGCTCACCCTATAATCCTAGCACTCTGGGAGGCTGAGGTGGGTAGATTACCTGTCACTGGTTCGAGACCAGCTTGAGCCACTTCTAAAAACATAGTAGCCAGGTGTTGTGGTGGGAGCCTGTAGTCCCAGCTACTCAGGAGGCTGAGGCAAGAGAACTGCTTGAGCCCCAGAGTTTGAGGTTGCTGTGAGCTATGATAATTATAGCACTCTACTGAGGGCGACAAAGTGAGATTCTGTCTCAAAACAAACAAACAAAAAACTTTAGGGTACAAAGGTATTAGCCCTTGGGCTCTGAATCTGTGTCACATACAGAGGGAGAAATTAAGAGTGGTACCTACATCAATACCGCTACCTCTTCAGAATACTAGATGCTATGTGTCTCTGATGTCTCAGCCTTAATAAGACCCTCACCATTTATTAGAAATTACAGTTAGGATCCGCTTCAGTGCTAGTGATGCCATAGTACTTTTGGTAATTAAAGTTTAACTTCTCACTCTCCAAATGCACTAGAAAATAACTCATCAAACATTTTCTTTTAGATGAGTAGGCTTTTCCTCCCAATTACCTAAGAAGTAATTACTCATGAATTAACTTATTTAGCTCTGTAAATGGAATCTTAACATTTAACTTCAAGCACCCAGCTGGTTTTGGTATAGGCCAAATACACAGAAGTCATGAATTATTTCTTTCCTTTTCATTGGCTCTGGCTCTTAGCCTAAGCAAGGACTAAGTAGACTAACAACCACCCTGAATGAATGCAGGGCTGGCTCCCAAGTGAAGGCATGTTGAATAGTAAGTGAACAGATGCCATGCAAGAGGAAAGCCATCCCTGGCCAGTGCAACCTGAAAAAGCACCATTTAAAAATATGTAAATAAATAAATAACCCAATGACACACTCCACCCCAGTCAGTGCAGCCACAGGAGATAGAGTGAATTCAATTCAAATGGTTATTTATTCTAAAACTGGAAGCTACTGTGCCTACATTTTTGCCATAATGTTGATGAGAACAGGGGAGGAAAAAGTTACAGATGTAAACAATGACACGGTTACATTTTTCTTTTTAAATGGTAAAACCCTTCTTTACTGGCCACTTCCAAGAATGCTTTACAGGCTGTGCAAAAACATTTACAGGTTCCATGTGGTGTTTGTTTTTACCACAAGCTTTTCCATCTACAACTACAACAGACATCTGATAAAACACTGAACAAGTCTTCTAAGGAAAACAAGGCTAAGGATTTCTCTGGTTATCATAACCCACATTTCCCCCCTTGACATAGTTTTTTCATAATAAAAAGACAAACAGAAACAAAACCAGACGTCTAGTGTTGCTGTGAGTGATCTCTGGGACTAAACCAACAAGGATGTGGCAGTTTCATTCTCCATTCACCAAGAAAACCAGCTTTCTTAAAAGACTTTCTAGTAACAAATATCAACAATGAGTACCTTCCCTCTCTGTTCCCCCACTTAAAAAAAAAAAACACAAAAAAAGCTACAGTGGTTTAAACTTTGTTCCCCACCTCTACACCCACTGGAGAGCCCTAGCATCCGTATCCACCTCAGGGACCATAAAAAGATATTTTTCACTAGAGGCCTAAACATCCAAAATGGGGAGGCAGCCTCTGCCCCAGGAAATTCAATTTTCTATTGTAACATAATCTTACCCTAAGGGTATTTCTTTGGGCTACAGTTTTTTTCCTTGCCCTGACACTAAAAGCAAAACTTTCTCAAGCTTTTAATAATACAAAGTTAGTGGGTTACAGAAAATTTCATGCAATCACTTCACCCACTGCCACACACAAATCCATCTGAAAGCACCAGGGGGAAGTAAGTACCCAGAGAAAGGACATCATTATGAGCAAGCAAACTTATCTCCCACCAGCCCCCTGTTCCAGCCTTGGGGTGAGAGATACTTGAGCAAAAGGGTACATTATGACAGACGGGGACAACTAGAGGGCCAGATTAAGGATCTGCACATCTGAAGAAGGGCTGTATTGCAGTAACATTGTGAGAGGGAAAGATCAACTCTCAGCACAAAATTTTAAACAGAGAACTGTCCAGGTGAGGAAATGGAAGTGAAGCATTTAATAGTATGACCCAGAGTTTTCTCTCACTACAAAGTGCTGCAATATGTGGTGCTTGCTGAGAAAGCTCTTGGTTGACACAGTGCTGAAGAGAAAGATGAATTAAAACTGAAGCTAAACATTGAAATGGCATTCCCACATTCCACCCATATTCTTGAACCCAACAACCTCTAGTTATTTGTCAAGAACTGGGAAGGTGTAGGTAAAGTTGACAAAACTACTATCCCAACTGGAGTCTCTCTGCTAGAGGCCTCTCTGGGGACATGCAAGGAAAGCAACCCAGAAGGAATCTTGTTTCAAGTTGGGAAGGGCGAGTGCTTTCACGCACACATGTTCACACTCACACTCTTCCCAAGTCTCAGCAGCCCCACTGAGCTGCCTCCCATCCCCACTCCCTTTTATTATTTATTCTCTACCTGTGTATCAAAAAATCCACCAGGGCATGAGCCCTCCACACTGTACAAAATAGTTGCTATTCTCAGCACCTGGGCCTGAAAGCCCACACCACAGGATTCACCTATATACATATCCTGCTGCAGTGAAAAGAATCCTGCTTCATTTCTGTGTGAGCTGAAACCCTGAGAAACGTTCCTTCTCTTACAATGTAAGAGGACACTCTCACAGAAGATTTCAGAGACCTCTTGCATCTCGCAACCTTGGAAGACAAAGACTAGAGACTGGCAAATCAGAATCTTCAGGCTGAGGGCTGTGCTCCCATTCTCTCCAAGATTTTATGGGACTTCAGCAGTGGGTATATAGAAGGTGGCAGCTATTCTGCTCTGCAATTGAGAATAGTCCCCAGGCCTCTTTGGCCTGGGAATCCTATATAAGGGAACCACCAACTGCAGTCTCCATGCCTCAGCCAAATAGCACAAAGGCACGGGAAAGTAAAGATTGGGATATTTTGGCTTCCCAGCCCACCAGACCAGATATCCCAAGAGGGAAAGGTCAGTAAAGAAAATACAAACGGTTAGTGGTGCAAGTGATTGATAAGAGCCAATCGTTTATTTTCACTGCCCCAGTCACAAGCTCCCCTTCTGTCCCACTCCTGCCTGCTCCTACCTGCTCTGGAGAACAATCCTCACATTGCTTCCCCAGCCTCCCCGCACCACCTCACCACTCTCCCTTACTCGGCTGCCAGTCTAGCTGCCTTAGAATGTCAGAAGGGCGCCATTTTTCAGTTAACTGTCCGACTGCAGGGTACAGAACAGGCAGCCCTAAGTGCTGCTTTCTGAACAAATGTTTTTTGATTACAAATATCTAACTAGGTTTGAAATGTTTTATAGAATAAGACAATATTCTTTTCAACAAACTTTAAAAAAAATGTACAGTTTTTGTTCTTTGTTTCCACCTCCCCCCTCCCCCACCCCTGCTTGCGCACCCCCCCACCGCCCCTCCCCGGCAGCTCAGCCCCACCCCGACAGCCCCTGTTTTCCTTGGTTGTGTTTTGGGGGGGTGCTTGGCACCCCCAGAAATTCAGCTTCATGGCTGACAGGTGACAATGGCAGGGCTTCACCGATACCCTTGGTAACCGTAGAAGTTCCTGTAGTAGTATCGGTCTCTGTCCTGGGGGTGGTGGTAGTAGTAACTCTGCCACTAGAAGAGAGGGAAACCCCATCACTTGGAGCCAGAGTTGGCTGAAGATGAAGAGACATAGCACTCATCCTTTTGGTTCTGCCCCCCCTTCACCCTCTATCTATCCCAAGAAGATACTCACATCCCGGCTGTATCGTCTGTAATAGTCATCTCCATATCTGTTGTACTCATAATCTCGCCCGTAGAATCGATCATAATCTCCCCTATATCGATCATAGAAATTACGGTAACCCTGAGAAAGGAGAAAAAAAAAAGAAGATTTATGAGTTTTCAGCAGCATAACCCACTGCTACCCCCTCTTAAATGAGACACATCTTAGCTTGATATCATAAATAAGTTTAATTTTCCCAGAATAAATTCTTCTAGAACATATTAAATGGGCAAAACCCTAAGCCCTGAGAAAACAGCCCAAACCACTCTGCTCCCCCAAGCCAATAGAAATGGCTCTCACGGCCCAGAGGGAGGAGCAGAAGGAGAGCTGCACTCACCCCTCTGTTTCCAGACTGCCCCCAGTACTGCTGCCCGTAGGCCCGGTTGTCGTAGCCTCGGCGCTGCCCGCCCACTGGAAGAGAAATGGAGAGCGCGCTCAGACAGCTGGCATGGGGTCCTGGCTCCACAACTAGGTGGAAATCAAAAAGTTGGAGCCAAAGGCAATTCTGGGGGAATAGGAGGCCTGTTTCGGCCAGGCTCACACAATGTTAATTAAAGCACCAGCCAGATCTTTAAAAAAGTCTGAGGGGGGAGGGCAGAGGAATAGAGACACGAGAAAATCAAGCCACCTTGCTTTTGAAGCTCCCCAATTCCTGCAAAACATTTCTGATGGCAAAAAGATACATGGCAGAGTTAGAAACATGTATAAAAACTGCCATTCATAGAATTAGATTTTCAGCCCTGAAAGGGATTTCAGATATCATATAACCCATACTTGTCATTTTATACAAAACAAAGTCTATGTAATAAGCTCCTGGAGGGCCGCAACTGTTGGTATTCACAGTGCCTAGCACATAGCAGGCACTTGAAACTCCTATTGACTTAACAGTTATACATACACATACACACATTTTTAAAGAGCAGTAAATATATCCTGGGGTTTTAACTGAAATTAGACATTCAGGAGGAAAATTATTTCCACTAATAGCCTAACTTCCTTTTTAAACCCCCTAAAATTACTGAATAATGCATTCACTTTCTGGTTTATACAATTGGGTTGATCCAAAAGGAGCACCAAGAAAAATTAAAGATGATAATCTTGATTTCACTGCACAATGTCACAAAGACGGGAACAGTGACATGAGGAACCCATATGTTATAATGAAAACTAAACAGACAAGAAGGTGCAAGTATTGCTTTTCAAGGAAACAAATACTTTTGTTGTAAGTAATTCCTTTTTTATTGACGAATTATGGAAAAATCATAAAAAGCTGGAGGTAAAGGAAACAGTTCTGGAAAAATAGATCCATAAAGATGACACTTCCTTACTTATTGTTAGTGAGTTGACTTAGTTCCCTTGGCCTGTCCTCATGCAACCTGCTGTACTTAGCACAAAAAACCAGACCAAGACAGGGGGCTGGCAGGTCTCTAGGACTCACCATAGCCTTGGCCTCGGCTTCGGTTCTGCCGGTTACGCTTGTTTCGGTTATTTCGGCGGTTTGTCCGCTTCTCAGAGGGGGGCAGCAGCTTCCTTGCCTCCTCCTTGTATTTGGTGACAATGGGCTGGGCTTCCTCCTTCTCTAGCTCCCCATATGTCACCTCATCCATATAGTCGCATTTTTCAGGTAAAGAGAAGTTGGCTATAAGAGTAAGAGAGAAGCTTGTGGGCCTGAAAAGTGCATAGATGGGTAAGAACTCATTATGAAAACTCTACAAGAAACATAAGACTTTCTCAACCTCACCTACTAATGTACAAAAACATGCTGGGTTCATACTCATTCACATTTAAATAATCAAATTAGTTTTTTCTACCCTAAGCTTTTCCTAAATTGTAACAGCCCCAGGGCTATCTGCAAACTGTAAGTTTACAAAGTCTCAAGTGATCCATAATAAATTAGGAGTGAACTGGGTTAAGGTTCTTATCAGGACAGCAGTTAAGTAGCCAGAGGCTAAAAGTAACAGAGAAAGTTGGTGTTTGGTCAGATAAGATGCTAACAAATGTAACATTTTAAAAATAAAGGGGGAAGGGGGCTGGAGCAGTGGCTCAGCCCTGTAATCCTAGCACTTTGGGAGGCCAAGGTGGGTAGATTGCTTGAGCTCAAGACACCAGCCTAGGGAAAAGCAAGACCCCGACTCTACTAAAAATATAAAAAAGCCAGCTGGGCATTGTGGTAGGTGCTTATAGACCCACCTACTTGGGAGGCTGAGGCAAAGAGGATTACTTGAGCTTGAGAGTTGGAGGTTGCTATGAGCTGTGAGGCATGGCACTTAACTCTACCCAGGGTAACAGAGTGAAGGTCTGTCTCAAAAATAAATAGGCTGTGCCCGTAACTCAGTGGTTAGGGTGCTGACCACATACACCAAGACTGGCAGGTTTGAACTCGGCCTGGGGACTGCTAAACAACTATGACAACTGCAACAAAAACAAACAAACAAACAAAATAGCTGAGTGCTGTGGCGAGCACCTGTACTCCCAGCTACTTGGGAGGCTGAGGCAAGAGAATCGCTTAAGCCCAAGAGTTTGAGGTTGCTGTAAGCTATGACAACACAACACTCTACTGAGGGCCACATAGTAAGACTGTCTCAAATAAATAAAACAAAACTTTTTTTTTTTTTTTTTTTGAGACAGAGCCCCAAGCTGAGCCCCTGGGTAGAGTGCCATGGCCTCACCGCCCACAGCAACCTCCAACTCCTGGGCTCAAGCAAGTCTCCCAAGTAGCCGGGACCACAGGTGCCCGCCACAACGCCCGGCCATTCCCTGGCCACAGCCACCATCGTTGTTTGGCGGGCCCGGGCTGGACCCAAACCCGCCACCTCAGGTATATGTGGCTGGCGCCCCAGCCGCCTGAGCCACAGGCGCGGAGCCAACAAAACGGTCTTAATGAGAAACTGACCCACGCCTCATAGAATCTACTCAACTATTCAAAGAAAAGAGGAAACAAGAAAGAGTATGACGGCTCTCATTTACCACTTACATGGGATGGGACAGCGCATCTGCCAATCTCCTTATGTAAGTGGTTCTCAACTTTCCTAATGCTGTGGCCCTTTAATATAGTTCCTGTGGGTTGCGACCCACAGGCTGAGAACTGCTGCCTCATGTCAAGTTCAAAAGGCTAACTCCCAGTGGAACTCAATTCAACTGGGCTTTCATGATTGCTTCTTAGACAGATGGAGTTAGCCCTCAGTTTTTATAAAGCTGAACACATTCCTGAGTACCCGGATGTCAGTAAAGTACTAGCACAGTTCATTTGGTGTAAACCCAGAGGCCCAGCTCATGTGCAAAACCGTTCCCAAGCCAGGAGAGTAACAGAATTTGAACAGCCAGCAGTTAATAGTGCATGTGGGATGCCAGAAGCTAATGGCAGCAAGGTAAAAAAATCACACCTGTAAGGGAACAGTAGGAAGTAGGGGCAATCAAAATACTTAATCCTGCCTTATGTGGGCCTTGCTTTCAAGCTTATGTACTGCATTGAAGATTTCAGCAATAATCAAAATACAAGCCTAACGTGCTAACAGAAATCAAGACAAACCGGTGAGATAATTCACTCCAACTGCCAATTCTTCACCTGAATGAATCATAATCTTCCCCCATTCCATAGAGTAAAAACTCCATAAAGCCAAGCTTCATTTCACATACTGGTATTTCCCTTAAGTCTATGAGAGTGCTGGGCAAACAGCAGACATGTTAGTTATAAATACAGTTTGTCCCAAAAGTCACTTTACAAAGAGACAATGGGAAGTTGTAGCTAAATGTACCTTTATTTACAAAATAATCATTGTAAAATTTTACAAAATACTTTCTTCTTTTCTTTTTTTTTTTTGAGATGGAGCCTCAAGCTATCCCCCTGGGTAGAGTGCCGTGGCATCACAGCTCACAGCAACCTCCAACTCCTGGGCTCAAGCGAGTCTCCTGCCTCAGCCTCCCAAGTAGCTGGGACTACAGGCGCCCACCACAACACCTGGCCATTTTTTTGGTTGCAGCCATCATTGTTGTTTGGCGGGCCCGAGCTGGGGATTCGAACCCACCACCTTAGGTGTATGTGGCTGGCGCCCCAGCTGCTTGAGCCACAGGCGCCGAGCCACTTTCTTCTTTTCTTGAGACACAATCTTAACTCAGTCGCCCTGGGTAGAGCGCCCTGGCGTCATAACTCACAACAAACTCAAACTCTTGGGCCTAAGTCATCCTCTTGCCTCAATCTCCCAAGTAGCTGAGATTATGGGCACCCACGACAACACCAAGCTAATTTTTCTATTTTTAAGTAGAGACAAGGTCTCACTCTTGCTCAGGCTGGTCTCAAACTCCTGAGCTCAAACAATCCACCCACCTCAACCTCCCACAGGCATGGCCCAAAACATTATCTATATTGGCCACCTCTTGGTAAAATTTTGTATTCACTTAATGAGTAACTGACTCTAAGGAAGCCACTCCCTTGAATTTTAATTATCCTATGGTCTATCAGTATTTCCCATTTTGTATCTTTCCCAGAATAAGTCAAGGAGTTATTCTTCATATTTACCTTTTTTTATTTTTTTATTTCATATTTACTTTTATTTATTTTGAGACAGAGTCTCACTTTGTCACCCTCCATAGAGTGCCATGGTGTCATCGTAGCTCACAGCAACCTGAAACTCTTGGGTTGAAGTGATCTTCTAGCCTCAGTATCCCTAGTAGCTGGGACAACAGGCGCCCATCACAACGTCCAGCTAGTTTCTAGGGGGTCTTGCTCTGGCTGAGGCTGGTCTCAACTCCTGAGCTCAAGCAATCTACCCACCTTGGCCTCTCAGAGTGCTGGGATTACAGGCTTCATCCACTGTGTCTGGCCTCAGATTTACATTTTAGATGTGGACAGTCAGAGGCTAACAAGTCGCAGTAAGGGCTATAATGACCAGGGATAAGATTTCTACCTTGTGGGTAGTGCCTGTGGCTCAGTGGATAGAGTGCTGGCCCCATATACCGAATGTGGCGGGTTTAAACCCTACCCCAACCAAACAGCAACAACGACAAAAAATAGCCAGGGGTTGTAGTGGGCGCCTGTAGTCCAGGATACTCAGGAGGCTGAGGCAAGAGAATTGCCTAAGCTCAGGAGTTAGAGGTTGCTGTGAGCTGTGATGTCACAGCACTCTACCAAGGGCGATAAAATGAGACTTTGTCTCAAAAAATAAAAAAGATTTCTACCTTGTATAATTTTAGTGGCCTATGATGTGAATGTCCTCCCCGTAATGTTGAATATGTGTTATAAACTTAATCTTCAACACAGCAGGGTTGAAAGGGTGGGACTTAGAAGAGGTGATTAGGTCATGGGGGCCCTATCCTCATGAATGGATTAATGCCATTATCTTGCAGAGTGGCTTGGATATAAAACTTCTCTCATGCATGACTCTTTTGCCGTTTGGCACTCTGACCATGGGGTATCACAGCAAGAGGGCCCTCACTAGGTGCCGGAGCCAGTACCATACTCTTGGAACTCCCAGCCTATGGAATTGTGAGACAAATAAACTTCTACTGTTTCTTTTTTTTTTTTTTTTTTTTGAGACAGAGCCTCAAGCTGTCCCCCTGGGCAGAGTGCCGTGGCATTACAGCTCACAGCAACCTCCAACTCCTGGGCTCAAGCGAGTCTCCTGCCTCCGCCTCCCAAGTAGCTGGGACCACAGGCGCCCGCCACAACGCCCGGCTATTTTTTGATTGCAGCCGTCATTGTTGTTTGGCGGGTCCGGGCTGGGGATTCGAACCTGCCACCTTAGGTGTACGTGGCTGGCGCCTTAGCCGGTTGAGCTATAGGCGCCGAGCCAACTTCTACTGTTTCTAAAGTATCCAGTCTGTGATATTGTTATAGCAGCAAAAAATGAAGTAAGACATTCACCTTTCATCTCCAGCATTATAGATTCAGGCACATCATCTCCTTCCACTTCCTTTCTCAACTCCAGCCTTTTCTTCCAATCTTCCTCATTAGGAACAACTACCACCACTTTCCGAGTGAAGGTCTTAAACAGCAACAACTTCCGCCGCTGACCAGAGTTGTACACATTACACTACAAAAGGAGGAATGATAGACGTTTCGGAACAAAAATTATCACCTAAATTCAACCAAAACAGTATCTTTGACAACTGAGATGCCAGCTTAGGGCTCAGTATATATAGTTGCCTCTAATTTTTTAAACATTCTACGTTGACAGGTATCATCTTATTTTACAATCAGGAAATCTGAGATTCAGAGAGGATAGAGGCCTTGTCCAAGATGACAAAACTTAGTTAAGTGGTGGAGCTAGGAATCCAAATGAGCTCCAACTCTCCTTCCATTGTCACTTACATTTTATAGTCTAGGTCTATATATTCTCAGGTAAAAACACTAATAATGGGTACCTCTGAGATCAAAAACCATTACAACCCTAATATACAACCAGATGGTCATAGCTAGGGAACCTGCTGCTGTTCCTTAATTCTGTCTCTCTATATAAATACCTCACTCACTCTGACTTTATGCAATTTTATCAGATTAAATGGATACCAAATTGTTTATCTTTGGATCTATGTAAAATCAAGTTTATTTTGAACAATACCTGATCAAGAATGAAGTTCCTCTTTGTTCGGGAAGCAATCTGGACCAGCTTACTAAGGCACTGGGAGGCTTGCTGAACTAAAAGGTCTCGACTTTTGGGGTCCATCTCTGGCTCTTCAAGCCCCTTCATCTGATGAGTTTGAGAGGAAGTGAAGAGAAACACAAGCAGTTATGAAGTAAGTTAAAGCCCAAGAATCACTGATGAAATGTCAAATCATGTCAATTCTATCTCATTCCTCAGCGTCACGATGCTGTACATTTTCTGCAGTAGTCATTTCCAGTCCCAACCTAGATATATTCCAGACTATATTCACTTTCAGATATTTGACAACAAAGCAAAGAAAAAAATAGTTAAGAGAAAAACCATATACAGAAAAACTCTTTTCTCTGAGACTCTTTTTCTCAAACACACAAAAAGCGAACTCTCCACTGAGGACAGGTTATAGGAGCTACTTGGGACTTTCAGAGAAAATATAGCTGACTAATCCCCCCAGCTACTCACCCTCATTTGATTGAGCACAGTCTCAGCTCCCAGGATATTGTATCTTTTCTCAGGGTTTTCTCTTGCATATTTCAGTGCCCACTGAGTCTTTCCAGATCCAGGCAGTCCCACCATCAGAATCACCTGCAAGTAAATAGCACCAGAAATGCAATGTGAAGTGAGAGTCATATTTATGAAAACTAATTAAAGAACATTCCCCCCATTCCAGTTTGAGGAGACCTGGGAAAGCATACCCACCCACCATTCCAAAGCAGGAAACCGAAATGCCTGCATACTGCTTGGCATACCTCACACTCCTCTATGGTCTTGGGAGGGACTGCAGTGCGCACACGATCCTCAACAGGCACAGCATGGATGAACACAAACTCTTCTGGTGGTGGGAAGAAGGGCTCTTCTTTCTGGCCAAAATTTAATTCTACAACACAATTTTTGCAGAGGACATGGGGTAGAAGGGCCCGGTCTGCCAGGGATTCCTTGTTGATTCGGAATGCCACACCTAGGTCTTCTCCATTTTTTGAGAAGGAAAGTTCTACTTCTTCATTCTCAAAATTCTGCAATGACAAAGGACAAGTTTGAGGTTGATTAAATCTTAAAATTTAATTTTTTTTTCTTTTTGTGCAGACTGCTACACAAAATAACTAAGTAATAAATCAAATGCACAAAAGCCAGCAGTTTTTATGATTCTATAGCAAGCAGAATCTAACTCCAAGTACCCTCTAACCATTCCCTGGTATGAACCCACAACTTTCAGGTGCACTTACAGCAAAGCAGCCAATGACATCACTCTCCCCAAAACTCTGGCCAAATTCTTCAAACTGTCCACTCTCTGCTTTCAGTCCTCGTCCGTCGAAACCATAAGAGAATTCATCCTCACCTAGAACAGTAAAAAGATGAGCTATCTACGCCCAAACTTTCCATAGAATAAGCAATACAATAGCAAACACTAATACACTAATGAGAAAGTTAAAAAAAATAACTTTACCAAGCTGTGGATGGGAAAAATCAATAGACCACCCAACTCGAAGGAGAGAAACTTCTGTGCAGCCTTCTTTCATTGGGAGATTCTGGGTTACCTGGCCAAGTCAGAAAAAGAACTCTTAGATACTCTGACCAACTCAGGAGCAAAGCCTGAGTTAGAAAGATAAGATTTAAAAATTTTTTTTGTTGTTGCAGTTTTTGGGCGGGGCCAAGTTTGAACCAGCTACCTCTGGCATATGGGGCTGGCACCCGACTCCCTGAGCCACAGTCGCCACCTCAGAAAGATAAGACTTTTATAAAAACAGAAAACAACTATCACAATTCAGCATCAAAATAATCAGAATAACAACTCTCACTGAACTTAAACCAAAGCCATAAGGGCTGACTTCTTGGTACTGAAGCTTAAGGGTATTTTGGTGCTTTTTTGTACACCAAGAAAATACTGATGGACACAAATATAGTGCATAGATAGCAGTTTAATGAATAAATTAATAGATGAATAACCTTAATAAGCTACTACCTTTGCCTCAAAGCAGACTTTTCCCTTTGTCACTCCATAAGTACTCCTTGCCCCAGACCAAAGGGTGGGGAACTTCTCTGAGAAAAGTGGCTGCCCTCCATAGCGGTCTTTGCTCACTTGAAAGTGGAGATCCGAGGTATCTGTTGAGAAAGTAGCAGCTTAGTCCAATGCCAAATACTCAAAAACCACCAAAAGAACAAAAGTATTCCCAATTGTCAAGAATGGATGCAAAGGCGGGGCTTGGTGGGCCTGTAATCCTAGCACTCTGGGAGGTTGAGGCAGGTGGATTGCCTAAACTCACAGGTTCGAGACCAGCTTGTGCCAGAGCAAGACTCCACCTCCAAAAATAGACATTGTGGCAGGTGCCTGTAGTCCCAGCTACTTGGGAGGCTGAAGCAAGAGAATCTCTTGAGCTCAAGATGAGACTGCTGTGAGTTTTAATGCCACAGCATTCTCAAGGCTGACAGAGTGAGACTCTGTCTCTAAAAAAAAAAAAAAGGATGTAAAGTCTCTTGGAATTTGCAGGCTATGAAGTTTTAATCTCCAAAATTACTTCTAAGAGATTAGTTAAAAACCCCAATCTGTCTGCCTTATACATACATGTATCCAGGTTCACAAGAGTTTGATCTTCCTCCTCATCTTTTGCCTCTTCTTCTGGGGGTGGTGGTGACTTTGAGCTGCACATAAGATAGAAAGGAAATACATTGTAACCAAAGCCCTCTTCTTGGAGTGTCTGCATGACATTACCTCTGCTTTAAACTACCAGTCAATATCAAACCCCAGTAGGTAGCTTCTTTCAATAAATAAGAAAGGACAATAGGAGCTTCCAGGGTAGATTCAGTCTAAAACTTATGCCTGTAAAAACCTATTCCATTTTTAACCCATCCCTCCTTCCAGACTCTCCAATCAGCATCAGGTATACCAAAATCAGAGCAGACGCTCCCTTCAAAGGGACTGCTTCCCTCACCGGCTGTGGTAAGCCTCCTCCCGGAATTCATAGTAAGCTCGGCCATGTTCGTCCTTCTCATCCCGCTGTCTCTTTACCCCCCGCCGCTCACCATCTGAGCCTGTAGGTTTTGACTTTTCACTATCTTGGTCATCTCCTACAAAAAGGATGGAAAGAAAATCAGCAGTTTTCATGCTGGAGTGTAGAAGCAGCTCAGAACCAAAAGAAACTAAAGTGGGATCTCAGTATCTAATCAAAATATCCAGGTTATTCCACTGCATCCTGCACTTAACATTTTATTTCCATAGATTATTTTCCTATATGTTTTGGGATTTTATTTAAAAAAACCATTATGGGTTAATTACAGTCAAACAGAAGATAAAAAAATGGACAATTTTTGCATTCTAAATTTATCTGTTAAAATCAGGTCAAACTTGCAGATTTCCCCATCAATATGACATAAAAAAATATCTCTTAGGCCTTTAAAAAACTTTCAAAGATTAATTTAATTTCCATTCTTGTCAAGATTTGGATTTAAGATAGGCACTTAGTAACATATTCTATAAAAATTTAGATTTAAGGTATACATTTAGTAACATAGTCTATGGTGTTTTTCTGTAACTTCCTGATAAACTCCCCAATTTTTTTCTAAAGTTAGCCTTTCATGCTTTAAAATGCACTGCCATCCATGGCTTTATTTTACATGGCAAATGGACTTAAGACCATGACATATAGCTGTATTTTTAACAAGGATCTTTAACAAAAGTTGCAGGAGCACACCATTAAGTCACAAGAGACCCATAAATAATAGTGTATTTTTACTGCACATAATTTGGGGCAGGAAAGTGTTGTCATATTTAATAACACTCTTTACAAGGAGAAAAAGTCTGGAGTTTTTCCTTAGGCTTTTGTATTTTGCAATAGTAAAAAGGTTTTTAATAATATTTTCTTTAAAACAATCCTTTATCCCTCAACATTTTTTACCTGCTATTTGAGATACACATAAGGTTATGTCAAAGGTTATATAATGGGATTTTTGTTCCAGGACACAGGACACGCAATTGCTGTAAAATGGGTTCCAATTTTACCATGATACTCTGTAACAACCTAAAGAAATTATAAAAACTACGAAGGCAACCCACTTTACAGTGAGACTTGGAAGCAGTTCTAGTTTTTCTCTCTACTCTGACAGTTATTGTAATGGATCAGCTCTAACCATCCAATCACTTCAAAGCAAAGGACAAAGGTCACTAACTCCCTGGGGCGACTCTACACATTCTGTTCCACAAGGTTACTCAGGGGTCCCACCAGTACTTCAATCACTTCAATTCAGGAAGCCAGAGGCCTGAAATGCAAAAGACTTGCTTCAGTGTACAGCAAATCTACAAATAAATCTATCACTGACTTAATGGGGCAATTAAAATTTAATCATAATAATATAGGAAAAAATAAAAAACCCAGTCAAGTAACCTTAACTAACTTATTCTAAATGCACTTGATTAAAATTTTCTCTTCTTTAGTTAACTATTAAACCGAACACCCTCACACTCCGTTGTCCCCTACTGCTCTAACAGGAACAAGGTTAGATTTTCAGATTCTCTGTAGTGAAGTTCAAGCTCCAGTAATGCGCTTTTGACGGAGCGGACTTTGACGAACTTAGCCTATTGCTTAACATTTTCATGGTGAAAAAGTCAACAGGGGCTCGGCGCCTATAGCTCAACCGGCTAAGGCGCCAGCCACGTACACCTAAGGTGGCGGGTTCGAATCCCCGGCCCGGACCCGCCAAACAACAATGACGGCTGCAACCAAAAAATAGCCGGGCGTTGTGGCGGGCGCCTGTGGTCCCAGCTACTTGGGAGGCGGAGGCAGGAGACTCGCTTGAGCCCAGGAGTTGGAGATTGCTGTGAGCTGTAATGCCATGGCACTCTACCCAGGGGGACAGCTTGAGGCTCTGTCTCAAAAAAAAAAAAAAAAAGAAAAAGTCAACAGGCAGGTAACCCAAAGACTAAGCCTCCAAATGTCGGTCTGGCTCTCTGTGTAACTGCCAATTCCTTAGCACACTCTCCACCAGGAAAAAAATAACAAGCACCGCGGTAGAGTGTTCCGCAGATAGCTCACAAGCAGTTCGCACGCAAATTCGCTCACATCCATCCATTACCACCAAAGAACCAAGTTAGGCAGAAACCTCCCTCCTGCAAAGAGTGGAGCCACTAGAGGAGGCCAAACCCCCTAGAAAGGTAGGTGAAAGATGAAAGACACTTCCCCCGGCGAGTCCCATCAAATGGCGATGGGAATCTTGCACTTTCAGGCAAGTGAGAACAAAAAATCCGACCCTGCGATGCAGGGCGGGGTGCTAGATCAGGGGCGCACTCGGCAGGTTGGAGCCGGGCTCCGCTGCCAGCTCCTCACCCTGTTCCTCTGCGGCCTTGTCACCCGGCGCTTCGTCGCCGCTCCGCTCCTCGGGCTCGTCTTCCTCTCCCTTGCCAGTGCCCTGTTCTTCGCCTCCATTTACCCCACCTGACCCGGCCGTGGCCTCCGCTGCCTTCTCAGAAGTATTGGGCTCGGCCAAGGCCTCCATGGCTGCCGCCTCCGGGGGCTCCGGTGGCGGCTGCGCGGCCTGGCCTGACGCCTGAGAGGGAGGTGGCTCTTCGTCCTCGTCCTCAAGCAGCGCCTCCTCGTCCTCCTCCTCCTCCTCCTCGTCGTCCTCCTCGTCCCCGCCCGGACCGCCGCCCGACGCGGCCACAGGCCGAGGCTCCGCCTTGCAGGCCCCGCCGGGCCCGGCCCCGCCACCACCGGCCTCGTCCTCGAGCATCTCGGCGTCCAGCGCCTCCTGCAGCCGCTGCGCCAGATCCACTTTGAGGCCGCGCGAGTCCAAGCCCCGCCGCTGCAGCTCCGACCGCAGCTCGGTCACTTTCAGCCGCTTCACCTCCATCGCCGCCGCCGCCTCCTCCGCCTCCCGCCGCCTCCTCCCCTGCGAACCGTCGACCGAGCCCGACCGCGCAGGCGCCGCCGCCGCCGCCGCCCGCCTCCGCCTCACGCGCCAGCCCTAAGCCCGCGCGAGCGAGCGCACGCACGCAGGCAGTAGAGGCCGCGCACAGTCCCCGATACGTATTGTTTGTTTCTCCTTTCTCCTCCCCTCCTACTTCGGCTCACGGAGCCCAAAACAACGCTACCGGAGCTGCTCCCCTTCTAGTTCCTCGGTTCCCCAGGTGCGGGCGGGAGGGCGTGCTAGGAGAACGACAGACTTCCCTCCTTCTCCCTCCCACCCCTTTTACCCCTCTAGACCAATCACCGCCGGGGTTTTACTGCGCAGCCGCAACGGAGTCCGAGACGGACTAGCTGGCTATAGTTCAAGTGCCTCGTAGCACGGAAGCGTGTGCGCGCCGGTCTTGCCGTACTTCTGCGGCTGTTCTGCGCAGCCGCCAGGAACTCACTTGTCCTACGCCCCTCACAGACTGTCACCTCCCTTACTTCCGTCTGACTTCCAGTTGCCGCGGCGCCTTAGGGCTTGTCCCCTGTCCTTTTTCCCTACAGACGTGTATGTAGCAGCTACTTGAGAGTAACAACAACAGAAGAGAAGCCATTGCACCAAGAAAGCCAACTAGCAATTATTTTTCTGGTTAGTAAACAAGTGGGCTTTCACGAACCAAAGGATAACTGTAATCATTGGCCTTTTTCCCTCGCTACCTCTCCTTCTACCCAGCAACAGACGCCCTGACCCCGCCTTTCGACTCTCTTATTGGCCAACTTGAATAGTCATTTGACATTCTGATTGGTCATCCGTCATCATTCGGATTTTTCCGATTGGCGAAACCGCCTGGGGATTTTTTTTTTCCGGGTTAGTCCGCCGTGGAGGCGGGGTCATTTCTCTGGGATTATTTTTTCCGGAGCCGTTTCTGATTGGGCGATGCGATATAATGCACGCGACTCTTTAGACACCAAACTGTCGGGTGATCTGACCCTTTCCTCTCCAAGCTTGCCTCGGTAAACCCAGGAGACTTCGGGCTTGAGCGTGTGCAGAGGCCCGCGACGCCTGGTGGGCTTGCAACAGGGGTGCTTTTTGCACTCCTTAGTCTCGCCTATGGGTGGGGGTGTCCGAGCCTCGTTCACTTCAGTTTCCTAGTTTGTACCACTGACACCCATAAGTACTTGTTGAATAAGGACAAATAAAAAGCTGGAGTAGACGCAAGCTTCTTGATTTCTTTTAGCGGTAGTCCACGCCTACTCCCTTATACTTCCAGGTCAGTGGAGGCGTATCTAAAAGAGAAGAGGAAGCAAATTCTACCGGCTAGTGAACATCGGCCACGATTGCTAAGCAAGGCCTTTGCTTTTGGGGGGGAGAGGGGGCGGGGAGGCTTCCTTGCTCTGGAATCATCTCTACTGGTAAATTACTTAATATTTGGTTTCGCTGTTTTTACATTCTCTTCCTAGTTTCCTGCACTTCAGGAGATTGAAAAACTGCAGAGAGGAGAGGTGTGGCTCTAGTAAAAACAAGCAAAGCTCATGTCCCAAGGTGGGCGGGGGGCTCCTGCCTTCCTAAGTCGGCTACCAAAATCAGTTATTTTGCTCCCAACCCCAGAGTTTCAGTTGCTCTTTCACTTACCAATTCCGCAAGAGCACTAGACGACAAAGAGTTATGGAGAAGCGCCTGCAGGAGGCTCAGCTGTACAAGGAGGAAGGGAACCAGCGTTACCGGGAAGGGAAGTACCGAGATGCTGTGAGTAGGTACCATCGAGCTCTGCTTCAGCTGCGGGGTCTGGATCCAAGTCTGCCCTCCCCGATATCTAACTTAGGTCCTCAGGGCCCGGCTCTCACACCTGAACAAGAAAACATACTGCAAACCACCCAGACAGACTGCTACAACAATCTAGCTGGTAAGAACAGGGCTGAAGGGTGGGTAGAGAACATCAGTGCAGGAACATGAAAGTTTGTAAATATTGGGAGAAACACGGACATTCTTTTCTTTTCTCATCCAGTTATTCCGCTGTGAATTGAAATACATTTCCAATCTGTGGGGTTCCAGGGGAACTGCTGTAGACTAGGGCTTCTCAAATTTCACCTGGAGAGTTTGTTAAAGCACAAATTCCTGCCCTCCCCCAGCCCCCATATAAGGATTTAGTGGGTCTCAGGGGTTACCAATTTTGCATTTCTGACAAGCTCCTGGGTGATGCTTTTAGCTTAAGGGAATTTTGCATGCTGTAGACAAAAATTGAATTTATGATTAAGGTATTGTTTCTTAAAGGAAAATTTAATATTTGGGAAACAAGTTTCATGTTGTAGCTAGTCCTGTAGATCACTTACTTTCACTGGTTTTTATAGCATTTCTTCATTTTCTTTTTTCCTGCAAACAGCTAATTTGGATTACTAGTATTTTCCATCTTCAGATGGCCTTAGGTGAAGAGATGGATGCTATAGTATAACTAGGATTAACCTGCTAAGATGAAAAGAGACTTGGCTCAGTGCCTGTAGTTCAGCAGCTAGGGTGCCAGCCACATACACCTGAGCTGGCAGGTTCGAATCTAGCCCGGGCCTGCCAAACAACAATGACAGCTACAACCAAAAGATAGCCCGGGATTGTGGCAGGTGCCGGTAGTACCAGCTGCTTGTGAGACTGAGACAAGAGAGTCGCTTAAGCCCAAGAGTTAGAGGTTGCTGTGAGCTGTGACGCTACGACGACATAATGAGACTGTGTCAAAAAAAAAAAAAAAAAGGATAAAAAGAGACTCTTTTTTTTTTTGAGACAGAGTCTCACCTTGTCACTCTTGGTAGGTTGCTGTGGCGTCATAGCGCACAGTAACCTCAAACTCCTGTGCTCAAGCGATTCTCTTGCCTCAGCCTCCCCAGTAGCTGGGACTACAGACCCTTGCCACAACGCCAGGCTACTTTTAGAGACGAGGTCTCAGCTCTGGCTCAGGCTGGTCTTCTAACCTGTGAACTCACGCAGGCCACCCGTCTGAACCTTGCAGAGTGTAGGCTTATTGGCATGAGCTACCACGCCAAGCTCTAAAAAAGATATATTTTTTTAAAAGTCTGTTCTATGAAAGGTGAAATAACCATAGAGCTAATTAAATTATTTTGCAGTATATTAGAACTTCCTAACAGTCCAAATTGAGGCTATGGAAATTAAACTTCCTGACCAGGCATGGCGGCTCACAACTGCAATCTAATTGCTTAGGAGGCCAAGGTGGGTGGATTGCTTGAGCTCGAGTTCAAGACCAGCCTGAGGAAGATTGAGACCTTGTCTCTACTAAAAATAAAAAAATAAGTTGGATGTGGTGGCATGAGTCTGTAATCCTAATTGTTTATAAAGCTAAGACGAGGATCACTTGAGTCTTGGAGTTTGAGTTTGCAGTGAGCTATCATGATGCCACTGCCCTCATGCTCAGGCAACACAGCAAGACCTTGCCTTAAAATAAACAACAGAAAGGGTGAGGGCCTATAATCCTAGTACTCTTGAGAGGGTAAGGTGGGTGGATCCCTTGACCTCAGGAGTTCAAGACCAGCCTGAGGAAGATTTGAAACCTTGACTTTGCTAAAAATAGAAAAATTAGCTGGGCATGGTGGCACATACCTGTAGTCACAGCTACTTGGGAGGCTGAGGCAAGAAGATCACTTGGGCTTGGCGCCTGTGGCTCAAGTGGCTAAGACGCCAGCCACATACACCTAAGGTGGCGGGTTCAAATCCAGCCCGGGCCTGCCAAAACAACAATGACAGCTGCAACCAAAAAATAGCTGGGCGCTGTGGCAGGTGCCTGTGGTACCAGCTACTTGGGAGGCGGAGGCAGGAGACTCATTTGAGCCCAGGAGTTGGAGGTTGCTGTGAGCTGTGATGCCGCAGCACTCTACCCAGGGGGACAGCTTGAGGCTCTGTCTCAAGAAAAAAAAAAAGAACATCACTTGAGCCCAGGAGTTTGAGGTTTCTGTGAGCTATATGACACCCTAGCCTGGGACAACAGAGTAAGACGCTGTCTCAAAAAACAAAAGCATTACTTGTTTATCGTGTTTTCCTCCCTGTTGGGTACTAGGATGCAAGTTCTATTTATTTGTCAAGATGTCTGCCTTGTGAGGGCGGCGCCTGTGGCTCAGCTGGTAGGGTGCTGGCCCCATATACTGAGGGTGGCAGGTTCAAACCCAGCCCCAGCCAAACTGCAACAAAAAAATAGTTGGGCATTGTGGCAGACGCCCATAGTCCCAGCTACTCGGGAGGCTGAGGCAAGAGAATCCTAAGCCCAGGAGTTGGAGGTTGCTGTGAGTTGTGTGATGCCACGATACTCTACAGAGGGCAATAAAGTGAGACTCTGTTTCTTAAAAAAAAAAAAAAAGATGTCTCCCTTGTTCTTGTTACCCTCTGCTCTTGGCTCAGTGCCTGGCACTTGGTCCGTGCCCGATAACTGGTTGTCAAATGAATGATGCTACAGTGATAGATTGGTTGACCCCTGGGGAAATATCTAAATATCAACCATTCGACCACTTGGTGGAGATATTGTAGAAAGGATGCAAACATAAGCCCCTAGGCCTTTTATTTTTTTGAGACAGAGCCTCAAGCTGTCATCCTGGGTAGAGTGCTGTGGTGTCCCAGCTCATAGCAACCTCCAACTCCTGAGCTTATGCAATTCTCCTGCCTTCGCCTCCCAAGTAGCTAGGACTACAGGCGCCTGCCACAGCGCCTGGCTATTGGTTGCAGCTGTCGTTGTTTGGCGGGCCTGGGCTAGATTTGAACTCGCCAGCTCAGGTGTATGTGGCTGGAGCCTTAGCCGATTAAGCTACAGGCCCCAAGCCAAGCCTAGGCCTTTTAATGTCCTCATTCTGTCCTCTGCCTTGATCCTAGGTTTTTCTCAGTACCATGATTAATTCCCAAGGTTATAAAATAGGGAGCGTATTTCACTTCTTAATTATAGGAAGGCAGAACATTGACCTGAACATTGCCTCCTAAGCAGGTTTGTACTTTGAGGTACCTTTAAATTACCCAAGTGAAGGCTTGGCGCCTGTAGCACAGTGGTTATGGCGCCAGCTGCATACACTGAAGTTGGTGGGTTTGAACCCAGCCCAGGCCAGCTAAAACAACAATGACAACTGCAACAAAAAGTAACCAGGCATTGTGGTGGGCACTTGTAGTCCCAGCTACATGAGAGGCTGAGGCAAGAGAATTGCTTAAGCCCAAGAGTTTGAGGTTGCTGTGAGCTGTGATGCTATGACAGTCAACCCAGGGCGACAGCTTGAGACTCTGTCTCAAAAAAAAAAAAAAAAATTATCCAAGTAAATAATGAAGTAATATATATTCCATGGAGAATAATGATGATTTGGGGAGTTAGAGAGTGCTTGGCTTAAATTTCATGTTCATTCTACCTAGAAGCTGTCGGATCTTGGACAGTTTTATTTCTCTGAGCCTTGATTTTTTTCATCCATTAAATGGAGCTAGTAACACCAATTTCATAGTGTGGATGAAAAGATTAAAGGAGGCCAGATGTAGTGGCTCACACCTATAGTCCCAGCACTTTGGGAGACCATGTCAGAAAGACAGCTTGAGGCCAGGAGTTCCAGACAAGCCTGGGCAATGCAGTGAGATCCCTGTCTCTACCACATTAACAAAAGAAGAAGAAGAAGTCAGGTGTGGTGGTGTGTGTCACTTGTGGGAGACTCAGGAGGATCACTTAGGGCTAGGAGTTCAAGGGTACAGTGAGCTCAGATTATACCCCTGTGTTTCGGTCTAGGCATTGGAGTGAGCTCCCACCTGTAAAAAACATTAAAAAAAAATTAAAAATGATTAAACAAGATAGTGTATATCAAACACACAGCACACTCTTGCTGATACAATTAATGGCAATTGTTACCTAACTTGTAGTATAAGAGTATATTCTTAAAGGTTTTCTAGCTAGGCTTGATTGAACACTCAATGTGTAGTAGGCAATCAGTAGCTGTGAAGTAGATTGCAATGTATGTAAAGCTTACATTCACTCCTGGATGCCTGGTGCCTAGAAGAGTATCTGGCATATGGAAGAGACTTCAGTAGAATGTTGTTGATGCTATCCTATGTTTGGTATTGCCTTGAGCTGGCCAGTGGGACCCAGTGTAATAAATCCCTCCTCCCTTTTCTCTCCACATTTCATTTGGCCCATTAGCTTGTCTCCTTCAGATGGAGCCAGTGAACTACGAACGAGTGAGAGAATATAGTCAGAAAGTCCTAGAACGACAGCCTGATAATGCCAAGGCCTTATATCGGGCTGGAGTAGCCTTTTTCCATCTGCAGGACTATGATCAAGCTCGACATTACCTCCTCGCAGCTATCAACAGGCAGCCTAAAGGTGAGCAAGGAGGGGACAGAAGTGGTAGGAATGAAATAAAATCATCCTGCCAGCAAGGTATGGTGCCTCACGCCTGTAATCCTAGCACTTGGGGAGGCTGGGTAGGGTAGATTGCTTGAGCTCAGGAGTTCAAGACCCCATCTCTACTAAGAAAAAAAAAAAAAACAGCCACACATCGTGGTGGGCATCTGTAGACCCAGCTTACTTGGGAGGCTGAGGCAAGAGGATTGCTGAGTCCAAGAGTTTGAGATTGCTGTGAGCAGCGATGATGCCAAAGCACTCTTCCAAGGGCAATGGAAAGAGACTCTGTCTCAAAAACAAGAAAGCGGCTCCGCGCTTATGGCTCAACCGGCTAAGGCGCCAGCCACGTACACCTAAGGTGGC